CTGCCGGCTGTTGTTTTTTTTTGGGGGGGGGGTTTTGATATTAGCGGTACTTGCGAGGGAAGCGTGCGTGACTGTGAGCGGGAGAAAGTGTGTGGACATGTGTGTCTTCAAGTGTGTGTGTGTGTGTGTGTGTGTGTGTGTGTGTGTGTGTGTGCGCGTGCGCACGGGTGTATTCGACATAGCTTTACAGTCGGTCTGCATCCTCTTACTTCGTATGTGGAGTTTTCCTTGAGCTGGGACGCTGCTTGTGCTAATTTGCATATTTTGAACATTTGAACGCAACACGTGATCTGACGCGCACTGAATCAAGTTCACGATTTCGTCTCGCACTGGAGGTGTGTGAGCGCGTGTGTGTGTGTGTGTGTGTGTGTGTGTGCGCGGGTGCGTGCGTGTGTGCCCGCGCGTGTAGCTGTCTCACGCGGGAAAGGATGTTGTTCGTCAAAGACTACACTTTCATTCAAACTATCGTTTTGTTCACATCTGCGAGGAAGGTTTCCCTCTCTGGTTTGCTTGTCAGTCTCCAAGATTACGCAGAAACCACCAAGCCGAGTTTTATGAGCCTTGAAGGAGTGTGAACCGCCCTTCCCCCCCACAAAAAAGTTGCTCGGGGCATTTTATTTATTTATGTGTGTGTGTGTATACACATACATATACACGTACACATACACACACACACACATATATATATATATATATGTGTGTGTGTGTGTGTGTGCGCGTTTGCGTGTTCGTTAACCTCCAAGTGACTGTAATGTATTTAACTTTTTACTATTCTTAGCATTCATATTGTTTTTGCACAATTTGCAGACAGACAGGCCACTCCAACACTCCTCACAGATCTTGCGTCTTTCTTCCACAAAATATTATAGTCGTCATATATGAGTGTTGTCTGTTGTGAAACTGTGGTCCCGGTAATGACGGGCAATTTTCCCCCAGTGTGGGACAAATAAAGGTTATCTTATCTTATGACGTGAAAAGTACATAAAGTATCCAAAATGGAATCACATTTTTTCATGTCCTGCTTGGAGTGAAACCTCTCTCCAACGATTGTGCCCATCCGTCTGCTGTTCTTAGGAGGAATTTAGAAGCCCGACTTGTTTGTCCCTCATTCGCTTTGCCTGCGATGTGTTCATTCCCGATTTTCCCGTGGTGTCATTCAACAAATGAACTGTTAACTTCTACTTGAGGTGGCAGAATGCTCTCTGCGGCGTCTTTGTCGTGCAGGCAAGCTTACGTCTGGTTTCCACTTGAGAATATTAATTCGACACTTTGTCCTCGCGGCGATGCCAGAAAACGGAAAGGGGATTTCGCTTTCCAATGTTGATTCCCTTTTAATGTGAATTTTATTCAAGCCGCTTCGCTGCCTTGACTGAGTCAGAGAGGGGAGAGTCGTGGGAGATTGAAAACAGACATGGAACGATTGCAGTTTCATACTTATTGCCTATCAAACGTGTGTTCTGAGGATTATTTTCAAATGGCGTATTTTTCTCTTGTCCGTCTCATGTTATATATTTCAATGTAAATGACAATATTCACACGCATGTTGTTTCTTTTAAAAAAAAAAGAGATTCTGTATTTACTGTTGCCGGATCCAAAACTAACTACGTGTGATATTCCTTCAAACTATAAATTTCACTTGCTACTTGCACACACACACACACACACACACACACACACACACACACACACACACACACACACACACTGAGAATTTCCCTCCAGTACGGTTTGCAGACAGATCAGGCATTTTGACAATTCAGTTGTTGTTAATAATTAAAGAAAAATCAAGCTCAGAAGTCAAGCTGCAGTAGTCATCAACAAATGAATGATTAACAGAGATGACTGCTTGCTGGACAGCGGGGCACGTGCTTCGCTGTGGTCTGTGAAATTTAAGTGTGTGTGTGTGTGTGTGTGTGTGTGTGTGTGTGTGTGTGTGTGTGTGTGTGTGTGTGTGTGTGTGTGTGTGTGCGCGTGCGCGCGCGTGCGATTCCTCTTGAAAATCTCCTCTGAGCTCCAACCGCGGACGACACAATGGCCTCCATCAAGTACTTTTAATGTGATGCTGCTGTTTCTTTTGCCTTCCCTGTTGAACGTGTGTGACTTTTTTTTCCAAGATGTGCCAGCTGTCGGCCAGACTGCCGCCGCGCGTCGAAATGGGTGCACAATTTTGTCATGCTTGTGATGCCATACTGTTTTCACCGGTGCGACATTTTTAACTGATTCCTTCCCTCTGCCCCCTCTGCCCGCCTGGACGCTGACCCCCTGCTCTCCTCGCCTCTTAACACCCTCTCGACACTAAAGTATTATCCTACTCACCTTCTAAACAATGCCCTAGTGGTAAGTCCTGTCCCTATTCATTCAGCATTCGTCTTTTTTGTTTTTGTTTTTTTTTAACATTCTATTATTTTTATTTTATTTTTTTATGTCTTTTTGTTTTTTGCGAGTGCGCGTGTGTGTGTGTGTGTGTGTGTGTGCCTGTGCCTGTGTGTGTGTGTGATCATCTCTCGGGACATGCTGACCTGCAGCAGGAATGATCGGCTCATGCACAAAAGCACTCACGTTTTGTCCGAATTTGCTTTGGCAAGTCACTTGGTATAGGCGCAAAGGGTCGGCGCACGTTGCAATTTCGGCTCATCAGAGTCCAAAACAGGATCAAACCTAAGCGGTCCTCTCACGTGGTCTGAGTTTTTCCGTTGGGATGGAGTTCATGGTTCTGAAGTCATCTTTGCTCTGCGATACGTACATGAAATATCGCCATAGAGCACCAGTCAGTTTTGGAACGATAATAAAGCCATTTGCTGATGATGATGATGATGATGATGATTTGTTGGTATGCAATGGTATTGCATCATACCGGCTCATATTTTAGCGAGACATTATTTCCTTTCTGAAAGCAATATTTTTATAGTCATGGGTTGTATTGGATGCCGGTCTTCAAATTTCCATTGAGGCCTTCTTATTTGAAACATTGAATTCGCATCGGATGATTGATGCAAATTCACGCAGCAATGCGGATGAGCTGGAACGCGATCCTGCGCGACTTGTCATTATGTAGCGCACACTGTCGTGTATGCACTTGAAATATTGACAGTCGACGTGGAGCGAGAGAGAAGACTGAGATTGCTTTTCGGTACCAGCCTACAGCAAACACTCGTGTGTTGCTCCAAGAGGAGGCATTGTATTTTTCTTCCATCCCCGGCAGACGTTATCACCCTTTTCGAGAGCAATGTTGTGAAAGAAAACAGCAAAACATTATTCCGAGTGGCCAGCCTGAGAAAGCATGAGAACACACATAGTTTCCGATGATTTCAAGGAATATAATCCATATGGCGGACTTCACAAAAAGATATTTTCATATGTGTCAAATACTTAGCCAGTTTCCGGTTGGACCTGGAAAAGAAGTTAACAGCTCTTGAGTGAATTCAAATTGAGGAAATAAACCCTTTTTTTTTTTTTTAATTTCTCAAATGTCAGCGGATTCGCTGCCCATTTCACGTTCCCGCTCCAGATGCACAAGGTGGTTTTTGTTTCAGGTTTTATGGTCACGAATAAAACGCCCACACGTACATACAGAAAACATTTCATGAAATGCACCCCGAACGCCTTGGCCACCCGTTTCCAGCTTTGCTTGAAAATCGTCTTCGCGGGAAAATAGGCAATTATTCGCCGCTTGCTTGAGTAGTGCGTTCAGTTTGACCCGAGTGTGTGTATGCACCAAAAGGTTCATCATATGGGGGGAGACCAATGAACTTATTGTAGATGTGATTGACGGGTGGGGCTGATCTATTGCGCTCCTTCATAACCAAGTCGTGTAGGCGCCCAGGGTGAAATCGGAGTCCCCGATCGGTTGCGTCACTCACTGTTTATTGGCACGGACGTAGCGCTGTCTCTTTTCCCCTGATCACGGGACCGCAGCGGGTCAAAATGGCCACGCTGGACGGCAAGGACGCTCGGACTTATTCGTTCGTGCCGCAGCCCGCCCTCGGCTTCCGGCAAAGATCAACACATTTAAAAGCGGCTCTTGTCTGTTGACGCTTCAGATGTGGTCCTTGTCGTGTTGCCATGTATCCCAAACTCGGAACGTTCGTAAAAAATTGATGGTATTATTTGTGGCATTAATGAGGTGTTTATGACTCTGTTATTACCCATTGCGACAAGCAGAGATGCCTCGAAGTCGTTTTTTTTTTTTGAGGAGTTGGCGGACTCAATTTGGGGAAGCTTAACTCTCCCGTGACGCGGCTCCAGTGGGGGAGCATTATCTCGCTTCATACACGGAAGCAGGAGTTCAGAACAGGTTGCTGTGAAAAATCGATATCACAAGCAATGATGAATTGAATTCCAAATCATTCCAAAACTAGTTGTCCATCCATTCGTTCCGTACACGTCATCGTACGATGAGGGAATGAAACAATCGACGGCTGACATAAATGTCCGAATTGTCCTTGCCATATTTTGCACGGGATATTTTTGCCGGTTACCATGTACAATTTTTAGCGGCGAAGCCCTCGAAACGCCGACTAAACTCTTTTGTGCGCCGTCATGGTTTGAAATAGCTAACGCACCATCCGCGCCATCGCTGGCAAAATTTGAAACAGCCGCACGCAATGACGTAGCGTTTGCGTCTTCGCCCCATTCGTAAAAGGAGCATGTCGTTTTTTTTTTTTTTTTTTTTATCTCGAGCTGCACACATCGTGAGGCAGAAGAAGTGACTGCGTCTAATTCGGTATCGGCACAGCTGTCCCGGCGCCCGTGGAGAATGGATTCCTCCCGCTATTGCCACGGGAGGCTCCAGCCAAAATGAACGGGAGGAGATCCAGCGTTGTGTGCTTGTGACTGAACGGAGGTCGTCTCGCACCGCCGTGTGTTTGTGTTTGTGTGCGAGGGTGTGTGCGCGCGCGCGCACGAGCGAGTGAGAGCTTGCACGTGTGTCCCTTCCCCTTTCCTCCTGTCACCTCTGGCTTGGATTAGTTTTTGGCCCAATCCCGGCGCTGCCCACAGGCCCAGTGAGGTTCTGCGGGTCGGTGATATGTTGTGCTGTTGCTATGGCAACAGAACACACGCACACACACACATACGCCCGAGCGCTAAATTACATAATTGAGCTACCATATACGAGGCACGACTAAATAGTTGATGTACACAATATGGGAAGAGCGAAAACGGGGGGCGGGCGTCGACTCACAAGCCGCCTCCACAAAGCGGCCCTGTACCAGAAAATAGAAATTCTGCGGTGAATATTTGAGCGCTTCGTCATAAGTGAGCCCCAGCCGCCGCCAGTACAGGATGTTCTTTCCTCAGATTTTGAATCATAAATCTAAATAACAGCGCGGCCATTATGTGCGTATTTGGAGCGCCGAGACGTCCAATCCGATGGGGCGACTGAGGACAAGGTGCTGGTGGCGACGCACACGTGCTGTTTATGAAGGATGGAATCATCCGTGGCTGCGTGAAAGAGGGAGGGGCGGCTTGGTTACGGGACAACTGCACGTGCTCACATTTCAGTGGGGAAGCCACAAAGGCCCCCTGTCGCCGAGGGCTTCACTTTGCCTTCCTTCCTGTCTTTCTTTCCTTCTTTCTTTCTTTCCTTCTTTCTTTTTTTTTTTTTTTTAAAGTTCTTGCAACTGTGAGACTGGAGTGGAAGTCATGTGTCATTCTCTCGAGCTCAATTTATTGTCCGAAGCGAAAGCGAGAGTGAGGTTGCTCGTGAGTTCTGCGGAAAAGTTTGGCTCGCTGTGAAAGTGAACCCGGAAGCTGGGAGACGACGACGCGTGCGAAAGTTGCCGTGGTTGAACACTGGAAAAGCCGTCTTCAACTTTGTCCGCGTGACCAATGATCATTGAAATAAACAGAGACAATTGGAAATGACAAATGGAAATCGCAGTGGGCCCTTGCATGGAAATGAGAATCATTCCCAAAAAAGCGCTAGATGGCTTTGCGTCGAATGATTGGGAATTTTCAATCCATCTCTTTGAAATCAAAGTGTCATAAAACGAAGTGGTGGCAACCGTCGTCCCCTTTGCTCTCCTTCAAAGGCGTGTGGAAATAATCTTTGAAAAAATTTGATCTCGATCCCAAATTGGAATTTCTTTCTCTTATGAAAAATTGTGATTTTTATTTCTGTATTTATTTGGTTTATTGTCGAGACAGTAGTAAATATTTTCGGATGTCCTACCGGTAATTCTATTTTTTTTAGTCTCTCTTTGTGAAGCAGGTCAAAACAAAGTTTCTGCGAGTCACCAAAGTGGACTTTGCTTATTTCGTTCAAACGTCGCCATTTTGTTTTGTCCTTCGGGGCTAACTGGAGTTGCCACTGAGAAAATCTTTGGCTTAGGCCGGATTAACATGGCAGATCAACGTTCCAAATTGCAATTTCGTCCTTTTTGGGAATCATTTAACATTAACGAGCCCCACCTATTTGTGTTGACGTTCATGGCCCGCAGAAAACAACCCAAACTGTCCATCGTTGACTCCGCAAGCATCAAGTCTGTGAACAGCCACACCGACTTTCAGCCGTAACGCAACGACCAGGAGTCAAATTCTCCCGCGGGTCGCCCGCAGCGCTGGCGCGTTCTGCCCTGTGTCAAATCGTTGGCCTTTTGTCGATTTTGTGCTTGATTTTTTTACCTCACGGTTGTTGGAAGAAGACAAACACATACGATTGTGTCACTTGAGCGCAAATCCTGCCTTCAACGCAATTTGACGAAGTCACTGTGACATTAAAAAAAAAAAAAAAAAAAAAAATGTTGCATTGCGTGAAGGACAGCCAGGAAAATGCGAGCGCGCTTGCTTTGTTCTCGCTTTTGACTACGTTTGAACAAACGCCAGCATCGGCAAAAAGAACAAATGTTGACAGTAATTCACCCTCTGCGCTTTCTTCAATCCGTCGCATTTCTGACAAAGTGCACGTCCCGCCCGTCTGTCTGACCTATATCTCCCCGCAACAGCTAAATATACATCCAGTAGACCCACGCATTACAAAGCTTCCAGATCGGAGACAAAGGTTTGCCTGTGCATTAACGGGCAGCTTGCTCTATTGGCCTGCCACAGGTTGACAGAAATAGATGGCGGCGTTGTTTCAAATCAATGGCGGCTCATCAACTCCGACGGTCCGACCGCCGCTGAATTCTCTTCAAAACCTTGTCGTGCCTCGTCGTCAAAGTTGCTTCCCGTTCTCCTTCCGCAGCTGCGCGATAGTCTCCCGGTTTACTGTCGAGGTTGCCATTTGCAGGCTTTAGAAAGTCAAGGGCCAACATTCCAGTTTTGAAGACACGTCACGAAGTCGGCAAGGAGAGCGTCATCGCGCCAACGGTCAAATGCTCGGCGCGGTTTAAATTTCC